AACGCCTGACCGAATGACTGTGCCATCGTATTGTTAACGAGATGTTATTGATTAATATCGCAGGTTCTGTCATGCCTTTATGTCGCATGGTGCTACTTGCCGTTACCAGGCTTAATTTTCAACTTATATTGTGGTTTATGGGACATCTCTTGTCTAATAGGAGGGAAATCAGCTCCATAATCAATTGGCATTGCTATATCTTTGACTTTGTCAGGAGCTGAATAGTAAGCAATAAACAGAGCAGATGGGAACAGGAGCTTACCACATTTCCTCTAGTCTTCAACTGGTGATTGTGTCATGACTTTCTACAGTACGCAGTTTTGTTCAGAAATTATAGAGCATGACCTGTATATTAGGAAGCAGAACTCTCCACAATCAACAAGTCATAGAAGCTTAGTAATTCCTATAACATTATGAAAAGTTCAGTAATAATACCTGCATCCTACATGCGCTACAAGTACGGTACTAGAGGACAACAGTGTTGTTGAGACTGCAATAGGCTAAGAGCTTACATTAGGGTTTGTGGATTAGACTACACCGTCAAAGGTAATCAAATCTACAATAAGAGACCGAACTGCGTGAACTAAGAGGTACATTTGTTTCTAAATTGAGTAATGAAGTTACAACCAGCTAGATTTTAAGATAAGCTAGATTAGAATTATGTGTAGCTAATAAAACAAGGTCACTGCTGCGGTTAGGAGAACTAGGCTTTCATTAAAGAATTAAAATAAATGAGGTAACGCGCGTCCTAAGATTCATCTGGGCTGATTTGTAAGACACCCGGCGAGCGTTCAGGTCCACGAGGCAGGTATGACTATAACTACTTGAGCTGTCACTATCACCAGCACTTATAGTATTGTTACTAGTACATATTAAAAATTTTAACACGTACGCTTACTACGAATACTGCTGCTCATATGGCTGTAACTGCTGCTACTATCACAAATACTACTACTACTATCACATATATAATGATGACACTTCTTCTTTTGTTACTTTTACTACGTCAACTACCACTAGCACAAGCAGCAGTACCACTTCTTATTCTGTAACTAACATTGCGCCTACTTGCATTTGTACTTCTACTGCCAGAAGAAGTACTACTACTATTATTTTTATTATGCACACTTTACTATCACTTCTATTCCTCTGTTATTTCTTCTAGTAATATTACTGAAATTAACCATGCTACGCATAGAACTTCATATACAGATACGCCTATTACTACTACTGCTGCTAGTGGTCCTACTGAAAGAGCTTTTCCCACGCACATTAGACCATTACTACTAATACGACTACTACTGGAATCTCAATCGCAAGTATTGATTTTACTTCCAGTATTAATCTAGTTATTAATGCTTAAATATTAGTACTCTCAGCAATACCTATTCTCATGCATCTACTTTTAATATGCTTACTAGTGAAAAGAAAAAAGATCTTCGGGCAACTTTGAATTCCTCAATCATTTTGCCTACTAATACTATTACAGTTACTACTGCCGCTACTAGTAATAATGCACATGATATCTATCCTACTCATATTACTGGCATAAGTACTGATAATACTCCTAATGTTATTAATGTTACCTTAATTACTACAACTCTTACTACTACAAATATAGCTGTTACAACTACAGTTATTATTACTCACCACGAATGTTAGCCCTGTTATCACTACTGTTACTACTGTTATACTACTTTCACTGTAAAAAATACTAAATTGTCTACTTTAATGTAGCCTACTTGCAGCATTCGACTTACGTTTACTTCTTCTAACGAACACTAGCATTATACCTACTCTTAGCGGTACGCACAATAATTCGTTAATGACCACTAATACCAACGGTACGATTATTCCTATAAATGCGAATTCCATTATTTACATTTATTATTATCATTAGCAGCGCCACACCTATTCCAACGTTTAATACTGTCAATACTACAATAGTTTTTTATTATGTCACCATTACTACTACTACTACTACTATTACCACTATTAGTACTTCTACTACGACTGATAGCACTACTGCACATCTTCACATTTATTAATTTGAGACTGTGATTAAATTCCTCTACTTGCACTCTTTCCCATGTCCCCAACACTTCCTTTTGCCTCATTTTTGTTCGCATGGTCAACCGGCGCTCGCAGCACACGATTTCACCAGAGAGGGTCGCGTTGGACAGGCTGTGGTGCAGTCCTGTCAACAGCTCAAGACGGTGAGAAAAAAGATAACTTTAAATGACCAGCCAGTGGAAACCAAGGAACACAAATAATGCGATCTGAAGGTACGCGTTGCAGCACAGACTTACACGGCGTCATGTTCCCGTAGCGGTTAAGTTTGGGCACCGTGGCAGCCAGATCCTCTGTTAATTTGTACTCCAGAGTTTGCGTATCCGTCAAGTTGTCGAGTGCCTGTGAAGAAGATAAAATGCGGCTTAGATAAAAGGGGCAAATCCGTAGAGCTACAATGAAATAAATTGTACAATCGCTGCTCACCAAAAACTCCTTCGTGGCCTCCGCGTTGGACTGAATTCTCTTAACGTGGAGGTTGAAGTCGGCAAAGTTAATTGGCAGAGGGCTGAAGATTCAGATAGAATTGAAAGCAAAACTGACCAGTAAAGGAGGGAGTTGCGTTCGAAACCTGCATAACGCTAAAGAAGTTAAGCTATGTGCAGTACTTATACGAAGCAAACTCCCCTTATGCTCTTTCATTGTTCTAGGGGTTTTTGAATGCAGATTGAAGATCTTATCTGAATAATTATTGTTTTTAATAGATCTTATCTGAGAAATTGTGACCCAAGTTGTTTTCCAAAACGCTCCACTCTGGTTGTCCTTTGAGATTCGAGATGAAAACAACATTTGTTGGGGGATACAAATACAGTAGTTGGACGATCTCATGAAATGGTAGCAGAAATTCTTCAATGGGTTTTCAAGAACAACAACCTTAATAAGGTCGTGCTGTAATATCGCTTAGAATGCAGCTTTATTCTAATTTTTATGTGTCCTTTGAGAATGCTGACCGTCTACAAAAACTACATTTGATAAAGAATGAGAACGTAGTTGCCCTCACAAATTCAAATATATTTTACAATTATAGGAAGAGAACTCATGTTCCTTTTACTAATTTTTGAGGTAGTAACTTACATCTAAAGTTTAAGTAAGCATTTTTTTTTATCTCCGAATAGCAGTGCACCCAAAAAACATGCTTCTAACGATAAGTCCTGTAGGAGGCAAAAAAAGTTTCAGTGGGTGCGGACCATGTTGCGTAGTTCGTAAGTGGAGTTTATAAACGGAAA